TATGTCTCTTAATGGGAACAGGGAGCTCTGTGCCAAGAGTTCCTCTGGATAATTGGCTGCTTCCTCACCTGCTGACATCTCCCCCATTGACATCCTTACATTTTACATTTAAGGTGCTTCATTTCTTCTCCCCACCTTAACCTCTTTTTTTCCCCTACCTTCTGTCCTCTGACTTACAATACTTACACTTGCCTTTTTTTTTGTACTTTTGGACGGGTTCTACGTTGACATCTTGTGTTAAATTTAATTCCAGCTCTCAGTGAAAGGCATCCAGAACGCTCATTGTGATTCATGTGATGGGCTTTTTTTTTCTTGTGAGCGAGAATAAATGCGATGAAATTCTTTCATTTCATTTGAGCAGGACTTATGCAATAAAAGGCAATTTGAAGATATTTGAAGGAACTTTTTTAATCTTACCCTATTTCTCAAATCTTTTTAAAGTTCCTTTGACTAACTTTTTGTTTCCAGTTCCATCAATGAATGTGTTTTTCATTGTGCCTTTGTAACGTTACCCTCTGCAAATCAGTCTTAGGCTTTCCTGCTGACCTTGGCTGTTCGTTAAAATGATGACTTTTATACTCTTAGATTGAAATCAAATGTATTGTTCTATGTTTAAGTAATATCATTTTCCAGTTTGACATGCTTTCAGTGTTAACTTAGTTTTACTATGCATCGTTGCTCCTTATGTATGTTTTATTAATAATAAAAACCATGTGGTTAAAATAATTTCAAGCCTTTATTCACTGAAGGATACAAATGTGTTGATGGAATGTATATTTATGGATGATAGCAGATAAGAAACACTTCATTTTAGCAGGGAATTCAAATATGAAACATGAACTTAAATGTGATTTGAAAAAGTTTTTTCCTTTTCCTTCCTTCCTTCCTTCCTTCCTTCCTTCCTTCCTTCCTTCCTTCCTTCCTTCCTTCCTTCCTTCCTTCCTTCCTTCCTTCCTTCCTTCCTTCCTTCCTTCCTTCCTTCCTTCCTTCCTTCCTTCCTTCCCAACAACATCACTTCAGTTTGGGAAGTTATATTTTGATGCCTTCAAAGAAATAAGTGTAATAAAAAATATTCAGATTTATATTCAAAATTTTTCTTCATCTTTTATTTTAAAAACAAACTTCAGTTTATTTATATTATGTGTTTATTTAAGCATGATGCTCTCATCATTGTGGTTCACTGTGGAATTTGCAAATATACTTTAGTCTTCTTGTCTCTGAGTGATGAGTTATACAAATTCTCCATGGGATTTTAAAGTGTGGGATATTGTTTTATAACTTACCATTGCTTTTTATCTCTGCTGTAACATTATACCTCACTTTTATGCTGTCTACTTTGTTCTACATGATGCTGTGTGTTCAATACCATTCTCTAACAAACCTCTGAATCCTTACCAGAGCAGCTGGATAAAAACTGAGATGAACTTTGCACAGGTGGTGATACTTTTAACAAATGTTTCTTTTGAATTTTATTGAGTATCACAGTAATCAAGGGTAAATAAGAAAAAAGATTAAAATGTCTTTCTTTGTCTGATGTATATTTTAGATGCAGATAAGTACAACCATTAAATATTAAACACATTTCCTTCATTGTGACAAACAATTCTATGTATTCTGCTCTGCACCCCATTTGAAGGTTAATAGAAACAACCCTTCGGCACCAGAACTTTACAAGGAAAAGTAAATCTATCTAGTTATTGAAATGTGATGAATGTGGACTAATCAGCAGTGCATATATACTTGTGAAAGAAATGTTGAAAGATGCTTATATGCATGAGTTTAAACCAGAGACAAGATACAGTGTTTATGCAAACATATCATGCCTTCTTATAAATCCATGTCACTACATGGGGACCCTGTGCCTAATTTGGACTTGTTTTCATTTTTTAACAGAGTTATTTTTATAGTTGAAATACTGAACCTTTAAATGCTTTATGAGCTGAAATGAATCAATAATTAATAATCGTCTCAAACTGTCTTTGTGATAATGTGGAGCTGGAATGAAATTAACTATAGTAATTTGTGGTTCCTATGAGTCTGTAAGAGAGGAAATTAGGATATAAATGTGTTCTAGGTGAAAATATTTTATTATTTTAGTGAACAGAAAAAGTGCTAAGATCCAAACAGCTGATGCAGATCCATTAATACATTTTCCGTCACGCTTATCCCAAGCAGGGTCGCGAGGGGTGCTGGTGCCAGCTGTCGAGAGGCCGGGTCCACCCTGGACAGGTTGCCAGTCCATCGCAGGGCAACACAGAGACAAAGAGGATAAACAGTCATTCACACACACACATCTAAGGAGAATTTAGAGAAGCCAATTAACCTAACAGTCATGTTTTTGGACTGTGGGAGGAAGCTGGAGTACCCGGAGAGAATGCCCACATGCAAAGAGAGAACATGCAAACTCCATGCAGAAAGACTCCAGGAATCAAACCTGGAACCTTCTTGCTGTAAGGCAGCAGTGCTAACTATTGCTCCACTGAACAGCTCTGAAGAAAATTCAGTTCAATTCAATTCACTCCAATTTATCTGAATCTATTTAGTTCCAGTCATTCATATATGTGAGTGAATTTGTATGAGTATGTGTGACTAATAATGACGCTGCATTGTAGCTTAGCTAGTTTATTATGCCAGCTGATAAAAAGTTTTTCTATCCAAGGAAACCCAAACAGCTGCAGTGAGTCCTTAACTTTGCAGAAGTATCTTATGTTGAGCAACAATTTTTGCAACCAACTGGGGATTCAACAATAAAGAGCAGGCTCAAAAGTTTACATATTTTTAAAAGTAAAGTTCTTATTTGTTGTGGCATTATAAGGACATTTGGGAGGTTTATTCTGTGATCCTTATATTGAAGCTTAAAGGGGATCGCACGGGTGAAACTGCCATAATCATGAAGCAATTTTTCTCCAATTTCCGTTATTTCAATAGATAATTTGTTAAGTGTTGCAGAGGCAACTGTAGCATAGCTAAAAAAAAAATACTATCCCTGGTAAGTTTCACAGTCAGAATGCCAGTGAAGGCTTTTCCATCTACTAAAGGGTGTTAATGAATGGTGACAGTTAATTTATCATTAAGCATTTAAAAAATGGATTGAAAACTGGCCTTGCGATGGACTGGCGACCTGTCCAGGGTGGGCAGTGGCGTTGGATGTAGGGGTTCGCCCTGAAATTGAAGGATTGACGGTTCAAGCCCCAACTCCGACTTTCAGTGTTGTGTCCTTGGGCAAGACACTTCACCTGCATTGTCTACTGATGGTGGTCAGAGGGCCCGGTGGCGCCAGTGTACGGCAGCCCCGCTTCTGTCAGTGAGCCCCAGGGCAGCTGTGGCTACAATGTAGCTTGCCACCATCAGTGTGTGAGTGTGTGTGTGAATGGGTGAATGAATGTAGTGTAAAGTGCTTTGGTCAAGTCTCCTGACTTGAATAAAGGCGCTTTATAAGTACTGCCATTTACCATTTACCCCGCCTCTTGCCCGTAAACAGCTGGAGATAGGCACCAGCACCTCTCATGACCCTACTTGGAATTAAGTGTGTAAGAAAATGGATGGATTAAAAATTGCTGGAATAAATATTATTCCGGAGGTTAATAATATCTGTGCATTTCATTAACAATTATTACCAAATATCATTCAGTCCCAAATAAATAGTTAATTGTCATTATTTCTTCATCTTAAATAATCAAAATCTAGAATCAGATCAAATCAAAAGTCTAATATACAAAAATGTAATTTGGCTTATATATATATAAGTTATATTAGGCTATATTGTAAAGAAAAAAAAAAGGTATTTCAAAATATGTGCAGGGTGTAAGAAAACAATATGACCCAATTGATTTGGTTACATAATGCCAGCAAAAAAATTAAACCACTTTCACCCCTGGTGAGGCTGCTGACTGGCAGTGTGCAGCAATATATGTGAGAGGTTCGATATATCATTGCTTTATTTATCAATACCTTCTTAAAGAGCTCCAAATAATTAATTAAATTCCATCACACCATTCCAGTGTAAGAAAAGGTATGATGAAAGCCCATGCTTAGAGCTGACTGCTTTAAAAAAAAAAACCTGACGGATGAAATCCTACACTTAGAGCTGCTATTAAAATGCTCCTATACAGTCAGAGGAGGAAGAACCCTGAATTTTTTTTATTGGGACAAGCGGCTATGTAAATGCCTCATTAAGAATAGCTGTGTATGATTTGGCTGTGCAGACAGGTATAGGTATCTAGTTCCCTCTAAGCCTAATCCTTACGTACGTTTTAAAAGCTGCTGAGCATTTTTGTATATCAAACACTGGAAGTGTTCAAAGTTGAAAGGTTTTTCCAAATCTGCTCATGAGCACAATTCTTTCTCAAAGCGCTACGGATATTTCCCTCCACCTGGCTCGGTTTTCACTCTGGCATGCACCATTAACTGTGAGACCTTACGCAGAGAGCTTGAAATGCAGTCAGGTTGTGAAAGTGAGTCAAAGACTCATGTTGAAGTCAGATTCATCCAGGCTCAGTTTTCACAGACAGTCTGAATACATTTGTAAATTGGGAAGATTAGTCTAATGGTTGCAGTAAAGTCCAACAATAACTTTGTTACTTAGAACTGTTTTGCTCATAATGCTTTTATTCTTTAAATTACAGAAGGCAATGTGGAAAAGCTTTTATAAACTAAAGCAAATGTTGTTTTTCTTTGTGTTAAGGTGAGAAGATTTTCAGGGATGTGGAGGCTGGAGAAAGCTGTAACATTGTAGGTTTGATACGACTCAGTGTGATGAAGGCTTGGTGTGAAAGCAGCAGGATCTGGTTTACCCTGATGGCCTCAATTACCGATTCTCCTATTTTCTGATGGACAACAAACACCGTTGTTGCACTTCTTTCTTACACCCGTCCGACTTTCTATTTCACACTTAGACCTTTCCTACCATGCTGTGGCCCGAGCTAATGTTGTCTCAGTGTCAAAATCAAATCCCATAAGGGAGATTTTCTCACATTCGCTCTTCTTGTGTTTCTCCACAGCCCCAGATCATCAATCGGGACGTGGACTATGATTGACAGCCGAGGGAGCTAAGGAGACCTGCCACTCAGTTTGCTATTAGCGTGTCAAGGGGGCTTTCTCTTGTTCATCTAGCCCCCTTCTCCAACCTCAGCTCGCTTCTTATCTTTGGACCTATATCCTCACAGTCTTCAGCCTCTCTGAAAACAAAACAATACTTCTAAATCAAGCCAGGTTCCCTCCCTCCCACAAAAGGAGTTGGACATGCCTCCTCACTCCGTTTGAGACATTGGAAGAAGAAGTCTACAAACCCTGGTTTGTGCATTTTAAGAAGGAGGAAGCGCTCCATCTGAAGGAGCTGAAAGAGGAGTAGTCATGAGGTTCCAGTTTGCACTTACCCTCCAGGCGATATGGACTGGCATGTGCCATGCTGCCATGCAACACTACCCTGCAGCATGGGGCCACTATGACGTGTGCAAGTCCCAGGTGTATTCGGATGAAGGCTTAACCTGGGACTACATGGCCTGCCAACCGGAGGCAGCAGACATGACCCAGTTCCTGAAGGTTACCCTGGATCCCCCCAACATCACTTGTGGAGACCCTCCAGAGACATACTGTGCCCTGGTGAGTGCATTTAGAATCTAAAAGTCTACTGTCAAGACCATCTTATCAGTTCATAATATTGTGTATCTACTGGGGATGTTTTGACCCCACAGCCATGACAAAGACTCTCAGAAGCCTGTGTTACTCACATATGTAGCTGTGGATGAAGGAATTGAGGCTGGTGCCCATTGACGTCATGTTCTGCTGTTTCGAGAGCTGTGGCTCAGTATGCACAGCAAACACAATCTGATATCATGATGATGATGATGATCCAGTTGAAAAGACATGCTTTAGTCACCTTGTCAACATGTACAGACATCCCAAACCATTTGTTCTCCCCTTTGAGTTTTTAATTCTCTACCTCCTGTTAGGGAACACAATAGTCTACCAGGTCACAATCGTCACACTTGATTATTTGTCTATTGGTTCTTGTAATTTAGATAAAATAATCTTAAAACACATATATCTGAATAGGTTAGAATTAAGAATACCTCAATCAAGACTTTTCATCTGAGATATTGATCCAAGTCATTTAATGACACCTTTGACTTAATTTTCAAGATTTTTAAAGGGAAAGTTGCTGCCATATAAATTAAACTTCATTATTTCATTTACAATGAGCACATTGATTTGGTATTATTATGATTTACTCACGTTTATTTAGTATTTGTAGCATCTTATTAAAATTTAAAAGTACACATGCCCGTACTTTATGATATGATCAGCCTTTTTTGGGTTCTAAGGGCTGGATAATTTGCCATGTTGGTCCAAACTTGACCTGAAGGACTTCTATTTGGCGAATGTATATTACTTGATATTGATCCCAGTTGGATATTTAATTGCACTTCAATGCGTTATGTGTTATATGAGATTAATTAAACGGTTTTGGCCCCACAGACAATATAATCTTATGGAGCTGTTTGCTTCACACTATGTTAATGCTAGCAGGATTTTAATTTGATCCTATTTCAGAGCAGTCTGGATAATTCATGTGCAGATAAAAATACAAACCTGGCATGTTACTTTGAACGTATAATTTATTAAATAGTGTTTTAGTAGCTCTTCTTCAGTTGAGGTGCAACAACAGACAACAGAATCTCTCTTATAAAAGGTGAACAACATTTAGATTGTTTTGGAATTACATTTGAAAAACAAAATAATCTACTTGACCTATAAAAGTGTTTTGTAATCAACACATAATGGGGTGTGATTTTGAATAGATTGTCTGTGAAAAAAGGTCAAGATGACTTACAGGATGCAGCTGACAGTAAATTCACAGATCATAAACAAAATTAGGGTATCAGGATTTGGGTTTAGGGCTTAAACCACATCATATAAAAAATGAGACCTAGGATTAAAATTGGGATTTTCTCATTTAATGTAATAGCAATATCTACACAAAAATAAGATGTGAGTTTAAAGTTACATTCTCTACGTTTTGCTTTTGATTGTTTATTGTGCAGTTTTTTTTAAACACTGAAGAAATAATTGGACTCTTGAACTAAGCAAAGACAATCATATCAGGTCAAGTATTTAATTAGCTAACCGCCTTCTTCTGGGTACTTTTCTTCTTGAGATTCACAGCTGGTCGCTTTAGATTAATCCTAAATGATGAATCTGTTTTGGGCCACAGCGTGTCACCGAGTCATCATAGATTCCATCTGAACAAATGCGCTACTCAACAGCTTGGAGAGCCCTTTTAGAAAAACAGTGAGATGTTTCAGGAAAAAGTAGTAACTTGAGGCGTATAAATAGATCGCCACCATCAGCACAAATTCAGCTGAGAGGGAAGATAGTGGAACAAAGAGGGATTAACAAAACACAGATGACAAAAAAAAACAGCAAAAGAATGATCAGAGAAGCCAGACGGAGCACACAATAGGGAGACAGAGGCTCTAAGGACTGTGGAAAGCATAGGTTGACTGAAGAACTAATATCTCGTGTGCAGGGAGGAGGGATGCAGGCTTTGAAATGTGAATAATTCAACATGTTTTGTAGCTAATGTGTTTTATTCATAGGACACATTATTCAGCACGACACCTCAGAGGCACTCAAAAATGCTGACTCCCGTGACTCCAAGGTTGGTTGAAGGCAAACCGTCTAAGAAGGAGTGGGCGAGCTTATTGTCACCCTATGTTTGTGACGGTGTGCGCAACATTTGAATGACATCAAAGACTAGAGGGCGTTTATGGAGTTCTCTCAGAGTCCTGTCAAATTTGGAAAATCTTAAAATAGGAAAAAAATACATATATAATATAAAAAAAGATTAATATTTCAAGTTTTTGATACCCATAAACGTTGTCCTACCTTCATTTGTTTATTCCTTTCTTTTTCCTTCCTTTCTTAGTTTCTAGTTATGCATTCTTTATTTCCTTTTTGGCTCCATCATTTTCTCCCTCTATAGACCCTTTTTTCCTGTCTCTTCTTTTTCTCCATCATGCTTTCTTTTTTCCCCTCATCTTTATTCCATTGAGAACTTCCTTTCTTTCCATTTTGTCCTCCTTTATGACATCCTTTTCTTCTTCATTCCCGTTTTCTTCCTTCATTGTGTAATTTTCTTCCTTTGACCTTTATTTACATCCTACCTTCCATTCTTTTACTCTCCTTCCTCTCAGTTCCTCATTTATAGCCTGTAGAAATGGTTTCAGATTAGCTTCGCTGCAGCTCAATGATCTAAACCCTGGATAAACATAAGCAGCCATCAGATTCCTATTTCAGGAAACACAGCATAAACTAGGTTAACAATTATTTTTGCCAGTCTTTTAACAGTCTGATGATGGCTTATTGAATTAGCAGCAGTTTGCGCTGCACCGCTGCCCTCATGTCTCCGGCAGTCAATGTAATAGGAGGGCCTCAATTAACCAGGCAGCGGTTGGCTCCTACATAGCCATTTCCTCTCTCCGTTGTACTCCGCGGATCACAAATCACACAAACATCAGTGAAATATGACCTCCTTTCTGCTTTGCCATGGAGTCCAATTCTCTGTGATTGTTTTATTTTTACCTCGGGCAGTGACACGGATCCAGATCAACATGGAAACAATTACCATTGATATTTCAGCCACTGAGCATGCCACTCTGCTGCTACGGTGTCGATAACACTTATATCATAAGTCAGATCGTCGTAGATTTGGGGTGATTATTGTATGTCGGCGTTATCGGTGAAAATCATCTTTCTGTAAATTGATTTTTTTCGTGCTCGTAGAGGAGGGTGTATTTTCAAGCTTGGCTTCCTCTTCCTGGACAGCTGAAGGTAACAGACACCGAGACCTGACAGGAGTAAGAGAGAGAGCGAGGGGAGCAGAGCAGGATGCAAGATGAAGAGGCTGGAGGGCGTGGTGCTTATGTGAGCACGGCAAGCTCAGGTTGCGGCCCCTGTCCCAGGGTCAATGATAAAGGAAGATGGCATCAAACACACTGCACATCCACATACACAAAAAAATGCTCACTCCAGTAAGGACATTTTATTCTCCTTCCAGCCTGCTAACCTTTTCAGTTGCAATAGGCTGGCATTCTCTGAACTCTGGTGCATGAATCTGACATAATATCAGATTTCTGTGTCCCCTCCAGGTAAACTCTGGCTTTTAAATACTGGGACAGCTTTCCCAGACCCGCTGATCGTTGACGTTGTGTTGGGATGTAAAAAGAGCAGCTGTATCTTCAATATTCATGAACTATTAATGAATAGTTTTAAAGTTAGCAGTTTCTCAGAAAAAAAAAATCATGTCAAAAGCATGAAGCATAAAGTTTCTTCTCGTGATACTAAGTTTTTTTTTTTCAATATAAAATACATTCTGCGTCTGTACTTTAAGGGCCGTCAGTCTGATAGCTGTTAAAAAATACATCGTGTTCACCAGCCATTTGATTCATGCTTCATGTTCATGCAAAAGGAAAATGCCAGGAAAAGTTGCTGGATTTAATGTATGTTTACCTTTTAAATAGGCATATATGCAGATTTGGTTGCTTTCTGAAGTCATAAGAAAAGCTTTTGAAAAGTCTACTTTTGGACTATTCATAATAACTGTGAATCTGTGTATGTATTTTATAAATATCTTTGTCACACTACTTTAAATCATACAGACTGATTGTGCCTACAATGCAAGCTTAATAAAATGAATTAGTGGGTTTTAACTGAACTGTGAAATGGCTGTTTTGCTCTCAATCTGGTCCAATTTCATCTCCTTCTCTTAAAAGTTATATGAACCGCTTAGGCTTGGTATTGTGCTTGGTTGACTTCATGCAGCCTTATTTTATAAATAGGGTTCATTTAAAAATAAAAAATCAGAAATGTTTTGGTTAATATGCGTAAATATAGCTATTCTGGATCAACTTACACCACACTTTTTTAGTAAATGTAGTTTTTCTTTTCTTATTTTCCTTTTGGAAGCACTTAAATAAAAAAAAAGAATGTGTAAAAAGTAAATTACACATTGTGCTTCACATTGAATAGTGCCTCAGGTAAAATATTTCTAAAATAAATTAAATATTACACCTCAGAGATTTAATTCAAACTTTAGTTAAGTCAGATTTGTGATAAATCCTTTTGTTTATGTAACTCACACCTTACTTCTTTTAAGATGGTCAAAGTTTGTGTGAACCTTCACTTATCTCAGTCGTTCTTTTTCCTTTGAGATGGCACATCTTTGCAATGATGAGCTACGGCAATATTAGTTTACTGTTTTCATATGGAGCTCAATCTTTCTTAGAGGAACCATTCAGGGGCTTTTCTTGGTATGCGAATCAGGGAGGTGGTAGCTTCAGTGGATTTACATTGTAGTGTAAAAATCTGACCTTTCCCTAAGCGGATCCTGATTAGAGGTTTCAGGCACACAAAGCATTGAAACCCCCCCCCAGCCCCCTGTACCTTCTCTGTCCCGATTTGCCTCTCAACAAGCTCTGCGCTGACATTTCCTTCAGAAAAGAATGCGCCGTCAGCAGCAATACGTCTCATTTCATGCAGCAACACAGGGTAAAGGATGAAAGAGGATCAGGTGGAGAAAATTAGGAGCTTTTTATTTATTT